GAGGAGCGAATACTTCTCGTGGGAGGCCCCAAGCGCTCGCACCTAGGTCGGACGATCGATGTGTCTACCCATGAGAGTCTCTGGTTAGCTCCCGGCGACAGCAAGTATATACCCATCCGGACCTCGGAACAGGACCTCGAGTCTATAGAGGTGTGGGTCAGTCGAGGGGACCGCTGGGTGACTCTAGTGGTGTTTAGTGTCAAACGAGTTCCAGTCGCCGTCCGAGTGGTGAATATCTCCCGAAAACCAGCCCAGGTGCTCCCGCATACCAAGGTCGCTACCCTGACGGATCGGGATCGGTTACCCTTGGGAACTAACTTTGTGCGTCCGGGGTCCTACCAGTACGAAGAACGGGAGTTCTTAGTCTACGAGAACACCAGGTCTCCTGCGGCGGAGCGCCGCTTGGACGCGGAAACCCGGGAACTCGAGCGGATCACACCGCCCATGGTGGACCGCCCGACGTACCCGACACCAACTCGCGTCCTCAGGCGGACTCCGGAGACCCGGGCCGTTGCACCCGGAGTCCCGGAAGCCCAACCAATCCCGCGGTCTCCGGAGCCATCGGGGGGCAAGCAGTCAAGGAAGTCGGCTCCGGATTCCCCGTTCGGAAGCCGCTCCAAGCCCAACGACCTCCCGACTGCACCCGCCCCTGCACCCAGTGCCGACCGCGTCATGGTCGTCTCAAGTACAGTCCCAGGATCCGCTGACCCCGGGCCCCAGGTCTCGAGGAGCGAGTCCTCGGACCACGACGCCCAGGTTTCCTCGAGAGTTGAGCCCGCTCCAGCGATCACGGCCCCTCTGGGACCCGTCCCGGAGTCTCCCAAGTGCGCGCCCATGGACCCCCAAGTAGCATTGGCCCGGTCGTTCGTAATGGTAGCGATGGCTGGGGAAACTCTCGACGCGGAGCCCGCAGTCTATTATCACCAAGGTTCTGAGTTCGTGATTTTAGACATGCTCAAGAACCAACTGGCGTATCTCCCCGACCTCAGCGATCTCCGGCCTGAGGCCAACATCGAGGATGCGATCGTCGGTGAGCCCGGGGAGTCGGACCCCGACGAGGAGGAGCGGCTCCGGGCCGTCCTCCGGAAGCATCGTATGATTTTTTTGGGAGAAGGGAATGCACTTCCTCCCCCGCCCGGGGAGTAGTGTGCGACTTAGACGTCGGGGACGAAAAACCCATTTCCATGCGGTCCCGGCGGATCCCCGCCGACTTATTGTCCAAGGTGTACGAGTTGCTCAAGCGCCTCCTGGAAACGGGCCTGATCGAATATTCCAACTCGGAATGGGCGTCGGCCATCGTCCTCGTGATGAAGAAGAATGGTACCGATGTCCGCCTGTGCATCGACTACCGGTTGGTGAATCAGCTCATTAAGCTGATGAACTACCCCCTACCCCTGATCGACGAACTTATGAGCAATTTCGCCGCCACCATGTGGTTCATGACCTTGGACATGGCCAGCGGTTTCTGGGCGGTCCCGCGGCCCGGGCCCAGCTGATCTCAGCATTTATTTGCCCACTAGGACACTTCCAGTGGAAGCGCATGCCGTTCGGACT